ATATATTTTAAATTAAAATGTGATAAATCCTTTTTTAATTTTTACTAAGATTTAAAACTTGTTTACTTATACCTCTGTACTTGATGTTTTATTACATGACTGGATAATCAGATCAATCTATCAAGTTGATATTCCTATCCTTCCATAATCTCGAGAATGGAGGTAGAAAGGTGAAAATCAAGACCAGATATGGAAAGTTTAGGGGCAAGAGGCCCCAATTAACTATATACAAACTTCTGATTTGCACTAGAAGTCACTTTTTTTCAATTAAAAAATTTTTCCCTAAAAGGAGTTAGATAGATGACTGGTATGACACTATTGCTAACAGGAAAAGCATGATGTACTGTACACAGGCATGACAATACTAATTTGAGGTGGAGAACATATATTTTTAATTAAAAATTGCAGCCTGTCATTGTAATGATGTCACAATAATAATTGCTCATTTCCTATATTATTTTATATTTTATGATTTCATTTTCATTTTAATATTTCAAATATTTAAAATCCTCACAGTGAATTCTAATATTGAAATTGCTTTTAAAAATAACCTATAGCAAATGAAAAAATCTTGAAAATATATAAAACAAACAAATAAAATACTTTCTTACTGGAACCACACAATAAATAAAATCAACACCTTTAAACAATCCAGCAAATTGTTTTTTTAATACGAAGAAATTCGAAACTACGTAAAGTTTACGTAGTTTCGAATTTCTTCGTTCGATTCACAAAGTTAACTGATGATGATCGCTTAAAGCGTTCGAAAGCGTTTTTAAAGTATTAAAAAAACAATTTGCTGGATTGTTTAAAGGTGTTGATTTTATTTATAAAACAAACCATTATTTATAAATTTGTACTTCATTAAATAATAATCTGAACATTAGTTACTTTAAAATATTTTCAAAATTTAATACCTTACCATCATTATAGCCATGATATATAAAATACATGTCACTATCCTTCATCTTTGTAGATTTCACAGATTCAAAATAGCCCATATAAAAAAATTCTTGAACTCCTATATATTCGTGTGTGCAACCTCCTCCTTTTAAATAGAACCATTTAGGTTGCGCTAATGCTGTAGATAATGTTGCAATCACAATTATACTTAATATCGCAGCTGGAATGTTCCTTTCTCTTTCTTTCATCTGCATCCTCCTTTCAACCCAAAATGGACTTGGTGTAATGGCATACATTGTAAAAATTAATTAATTCCTGAACAACCTATAATTATAAGAGTAACCTTGATTAAGTAAGCAATAAAATATGTTAAACACAATTCATAAAATATAGGACGTTGTAAAGATATTATAAGCATACTATACAACTATGCATTGCGCACTAATCTGGTGTAGCCCAACATTATTGGTTGTTCATAAATTCTGTCAATAATGGTTCGTATGATCTTTGTTCATCATGATAATGTTACTTCCTAAGTTCAAAACGACTCTCAAATCTCAGTTTATATTTCCATATTATAACTGATAACTAAATTGTCATGTTTGTCATGCAAATGTTTGTTTCATATTTCATTTTTTTTTTTAATATGATAAAGAAAAGGCTATATACTATTCAATTAAAGAATTACAACTTGTAACACACAGATAGATCATGTCAAAGACAATAATATATTAATATTATGCCAATGTTACAACAGAAAACAGATTATCATCATATTAAAGTCAAAAAATGAGATGAAGCAGGAAGAATCCAATACTTTCTGTCTTGATATGTATAATAAAACATTGTACGTACAAATTACAAGTATAAACATGTTTTTACAAATTCAAAAGAAAATGTGCTAAAACAGTTTAGCTTTATATATTAGTATATTTAGTATATAGTAGTTTAGTATATTTAAATATGTATAACAGGTATTTGTTTACTTTATGTTCTGTGTAATACCATATAAAAATGTTTGAATTTAACAACTAAACACTTTTATATGGCACTGAATGTCAATTGTGGAAACAATTAGTTTGATATATTTTACAAAAATTGATAATTTCTAAATCGTTAATTAACAAACCCAACCTTTATTCAGGAAGACGGACTTCATTAACTTTGAAATATTTTGAGAAATCTTCAGCCTCATCTTTGTAATTGTTAGAGCATATCATTACTGAATTAAATGTAATAGTACTACATATTCCAATCATTAAATAAACAGTTCCATTACATTTTAAAAAATATCACATACAAAGCAATTCAATTCATAATACAATAATTCAATACAATGAGAGCTACTTTTCTTCCTCTCTTCTCAATTTACAAGACAAAATATTCTAATTGTGAGTGCAACAAGATAAAATTCTTGCATGCTTTAATTATATGACTTGCAGGTTCTTGACTTCACTTTGTTTCATTCACACTCTATATTTGTACATTATATTGCACAGTTTCATAAATCAATATTAATTATATTAAACTACTTTAATTCTGCTACTAAGTGAGAAAACTATTCATATTTGAGCTGTGAAAAAGAAAGAACAAATTGCACATAGGCTAGCAGAAATGAAGATATTGTGATAAATATTTGAAGTATCCAAAAAAAAAAGATTAAAAAATAAACTATTCTCACATCCTTAAAAGTAACCCAAGCAGAGAAGCTGAAAGAGCTGAACTATGATGGTTTGGCACATTCAAAAATCAGAAAACTTCATGTTACATAGTAGAAAATATTGAAATAAAGGAAAAGGAAGAAAGAGGCCTGCCAAGGAAAAGATGGATGGACTATGTTGGAACAGACTGTAATATAACTAAAGAGATGGCAAAAGATGAAACTTTACAGAAGTGGAATCTGAAAGGTCAATCTCAGATAATTGGGATCAAAGTACAAATGATAACTAAATGAAAAAGCAGCTAAATTCGAATTCAGTTAAATAATGAAATTTCTCCCACTCATTAAATAAGTCAAATATCAATAATGTATAAGCATATAATAAATTAAATGTTATATGCCTACATATAAATGTTTTACAACACAATATGATTAGTACATCTGTCATTTGTATGTTTTTCCTAACTTTAGTAATCAAAAAGTGATAAGCATCTGGAATTACTACAGATATTCTAGTTGTTACTGATAATTGTTACCCAAAAATAAAATATAATCACCAAATTTAAATTTTAATAATTCAATTAGTTTAGTACAGTCAACTCACGTTAATATAAATTGATAAGGAAACAGCAGTTAGATCACTTTATCAAAAAGTCTGTATTAACCATTTTCAGGGTAAAGGTTGTATAATTGTATGGATATAAGGCTTAATAGGCAATTGAAACCTCTAAATTATAATATTTTGAATTAATTTACTAAACAAAGTTAAATTTATTTAATGATCTAACTGATTTTGAAATCAAACAAAATGAAGAAATGGTATTTGTCATTTAAGTATGGATCAATATATCAGAGTGGTTAAACTAAACAAAGCTAAAAGAAATCTGATTTTTTTCTGTTGATTGTTTGAAAAAGTAGAAAATACTTTTGACTCCAAAGGAATAAAAAAAAGGAGCCAAACCTGATATTATATACACTCTCCAATATGCAAATAGCATGTGTTTTCATGGAATCACATCCATTTAAAGAGGTGGGCATTCTTAAACTTTAATCCTTACTTTGAGTACAGTAGAATAGTCCACTAAAACTAGATGTTTGAATTGCTCTACAATAGAAGATCAAACCAGTCTTTGCTTACTAGAAGAAACTATTCTATTCAAAATTAAACATTTATTAAATATTACATTTTATTATTCACATTGAAAAGTATTAAAAGCAACCTTTACTGGAAATAATGTTATTTCTTTGGGATTATGAAGGAAATTTAGAATTTGGTTTAACAAATTCTAAGTAAAATTTTTGTATGCTTTATCATGTGAAAATTAACATTGTGACAATAATGTTTTGTCACAGCAAAGACAAAATTCACTTTATTGCAAGAATTTGTTTTATCAGTGTTCATTTTAATGCAAGTGGACTGTATTTAAATGATTTTATGATTCTGTTACATAAAAGATAATTTAAAACTCACATTAAGTACTGTACAGATGTGAAGGGCGGCGTTCGCCACACATATATTCAATCTCTTCCACTTTTTTCTTATTTAAACATTAAACTAATTAATAATGCCATTTAGATTTCTACTTTTCCACTAATGTTTTAATGTAATTGTGCAGCATTCTTCTTTTTCTAACTTTTTATTCTATCAAAAAATCTGTACTAATTTCCAAAATAAGTTTAATAATTCAAAAAATATAATGAAAGAAATTATTCTCTTATGACTTCTTTAAAAAATTACTATTACATTAAACCTTATTATGTTACAGCATAACAATAGATCCTGACTTTTAATAACCTAAGTGAGTCATTGTAAATCAATCGTAAATCGTTGATTTCCTATAGGACTGATGAAATATATTGAGATTTTTTCCTGAAAATAAACATATTACACTGAACAATATAATATATTTTGTGTTTGATTTACATAATATAACATTGGCATGGCCATTAAACAAGACACTTGCACTTAAGTGCATCATTTCGCAATTAATTAAAATTTGTCCTAAAATCAGAGAGATATAAAGCAGCGGATTTACAAGAATCCGTAAAGCAGAGGGTATACTGAATTTGCAAAGTCAAATTATTGGCATTGTCAAATGTATAAATGTAAATTTTATTTACAATATAATTCACAATTTAGCAAAACAATTAAAAATGAATCATTATAAAAAGTCTATCTATAGTGTATCTATCTATATGTAGAAAAATGAATCATTATAAAAATAAATGAAAAGAATTTAGTCTTGCCATAAATGTTACAACTATAGTATACGGAAAAAAAAAAATATGATCAACATTTTCATAAGTATAAGCATTATAAGAAGATTCATAAATTATATATATTTTATTTATTAAGCTTGTACAGGCATACCTCGACTTACGTCGTTCCCGATTATACGTCGTTTGTCAAAAAAGTATATGAAAAAAATAAAAATCAAGTNATATTTATACAGAAGAATAATGAAGATTTTTGTAGTATGTAGCTATTTATACATTATATATATATTAAATAAAGATGAGATTTCAAATATTACAAAATCTTAATGAGTTTGGCTTGGACTGTTTAAAATAAATATAGAATTCTAAAATGCTAAGAAATATACAACCATTTTTTCTGATATGCTAGTACTGTCTTCATTTAAGCACTTTTGTATTAAACAAAAAGAAAATTAATTCTAAGGAGAATAAGGTGGGGGAGCAGATAAATTTTGCATCTGAGAACTCTCGATTCTGTAAGGCCACGTTGATGACATGTGAGGAAATTCGATAGAAAATGTTTCAGTGTTGTCTGCATCGTCAAGGAGCCCTTGGGTGCTTTGGCTCTCTATAATGGGATACCGCCTGAGAAGGTTTGCGGCGGCTGCAAGTATTGCCATGGCTCCCGCTCCAGATACTAAGAAGTAACTCACGTCAAATTTGATCTCGACTTTGGTAGTGGGGTTGATTTTTGTTGACTTCTGTTGCTGTTCCATCAAGGTCGAAATGTAGAAACACAAACCAATGATGATGACACACAACAACACTGAAAATTTACAGATTAACAATAAATTTCTTATGCATTATATAGGTAACCTTTATGTAAATTTTTAAAAATGAAATTAAAGTTTTCTTATTCTGTACGTATAAATTAATACAAATTAATTTTATCTTATTTATGTTAACTGTAAAACAAATCCCTGTTATTCTAACAATTTTTCTTCTTAATTTTTGCAGATAAATAATGTTGGTGACTATTTCAGTTTGTAAAATACATCCTTTCCTGAATTTTGATGTCTTTCTATAAGGACATCTGTGGCTTACTCTCAATGTATTTGGGTTTTCTCTCTCGTTTGTGGAATTCAGTGGGTGGTGGTAGATGTAACAAGTACAGTATATATTAATTAAAGTCTTAATTGCATGATTCTGCAGTTCTGTGTATGTGTATACTGTAGATCAGCAGTGGCTAATCCTTTTCCAAAGATGGGTCAAAATTAAATTCAAAATTTGTTAACTCCAAATTGCAAATGAAATATTTAATTTAAATAATTAAAAATAACAACAAAAACACTTACAAATTTTAATTTATTTAACTTTTTAATCTATATAAGTGAAAAGAAAATAATAAGAATGTCATTATAGCAGAAACAAGTATTTCATTTAATGGGAAATTTACTGCTGTTTATTTGATGACAGTTTTTCTAACTAGGTTCATAATTTGTGGCCTTTAACAGTTTTCATGAAAGTTTTAAGACCCTGATTTCACATTATATATGCAAAACTTTGAAATCTATCAAAGACTTTTATTTATAATTTATAAAAACCTAATACTTTCTAAACATTCGATGCAGGAACTTTGAAATGTCCCCGCATTGAATCCACCTGCAGCAGTGATGAACCTGTGACCCATGAATCACACGTTTACCATTGATGTACCTTATCAAAAACCTTGGTAATAAATATTTTTCATTTTAAGTAATACAGTGTTTATTGAAGATTTCTTTTATACAACACTAAATATCTTAAACAGGTTTTCCTGTATTAATGATAAATAAATAAATGTGGCTAATTTAAAATATTCTACAAAAATTTTTCAAACAAAAATTAATAACAACAAATTTTTTCGATTTATCAATTGTTAGTTTGATAAGACAGATGTCTTGTGAAAATTAACATGCAAAATAAAAACTGTAACAAAGATCTGCAGCATATTTTAATTCAGTTACCTGAAACATTTATTATATTTATGAAAATTAGAGCTACAAATTAATTTGAAATAATGATCTAAATATATTAAATTGCATTGCTAAATCAACAATGATAAAGTAAATATATGATACAAATATATAATTTTGTTTGTCATTATATAAATATTTCATCAATTTACAGATAATAGTGATTTTGTAAAAAAAAAAAGAATGAACCAATGATAAAAAAATAAGTAACTTGCTTTTAAATGTCTCTCTTATGTATAAAAGTATTAATTTCTGGATTAATTTAGTATTAAGTGTTGTTCTTAAATTAATTTTAAAAATTTCAAAATAAAACTTACCAGTTAGAATATTAAAGAGAGAATTTCTTCTTATTGTTTTCAACCACTTATTTCTAACTCCTATGGTATCAAAAAAGAACTGGACAAGGGTAGTCAAAATTGCAATAAAACAAAGAGCTATAACAGTTCTTATCACATTTACGATGGCTGGTGTTACACAATATTTCATTTCTAGATAATCGGAAAAATTTTAAGTTAACTTATATTTTTAATTAAATCAATAGAAAAACATTATTTTGAAATGAAGAAAACTAATATTAAGTATATAAATTCTCTTATTTTTATATAAATATAATTTTTCTCTCATTAATATAAATCATCATGAAACACAATATGTACAAATTTAAACATAAAAGTAATACAAATTCTAAACAGTCCTACTGTATACAATATATACTAATTCATTTAATAATCTTACTTAAAATTATGATTAAATCTAGTAAAATACAGAAATTTCAAGAAGACAAAAAACTTCTTGAAATTTTTTGTCATTTAATGTAAAATTTATTACATTACTCTGGTTATTAATATGCCGAATAAATAAATATATTTAAATTTTATAAAAAAGATTAATAAATTTCTTAAACTGGAGTAAAGTGTAAAATTTAAAGAGTTCTAGCCTGTTCCAGCAAATAAATATGTTTGATAAATAAAAAATTGTTATACAACAACACTTCCAAACCTAAAATCCAATGAGAAAAATAAACGTTTGACCTTTCAAAGGCCATCTTCAGGATCTACTGGCAAAACACAAATTGAACATAAAAGGAATTTAAATAACGTTTGCTTTGTACAAATGTTGCATGCGCAAGAACGCAGTAATAAATTACAAAATAAAAACAATTACAAAAGAAAACAACACATAGAAAAAGGTTAAATGCTAATAAATAATAAAAATTCAGAATAAACTATACCCCAAAAGTATTGGAGTGCTGATATATTAATATAATGATAAGATATGAACATAATACTGTATATATACTAAGCCAGAACTGTTTACAAAGCATTACATATTTTTCTCACTGGGATTTAGGTTTGGAAGTGTCATATTATATATATCCAGTCCAGGATAGGATTTCTATAAAAAAAAATTGTTGCTGGAACAGACTAGAACTCTAAAATTTAAAGATTTTATTATAATTTATAAAATACTTTATAGCAATAGATGCATAACAACATAAGTTGTCCCTAAAACTATTAGCAATAGATTATACTGACTACTTATACTACTGATTCAGAATAGTGCTTTTCCAGTTGGATACTCTCCGAGATAAACTGTAAATTACTTTTGTGTCTATAAAAACAAACTGATCATTAAATATGCAACAACAACAATCCAGAAGACAGAAGAGACTCAAAGCTGAAATTTAATACGTGAAATATATAACTTTTTAATCATGCTATAATTAATCTAATAAGAAAGAAAAACAAAATATCTAGTTTAAAATACACTTGATATTCCTCATTTTAATTATATTTTGGCAAAAATTAATACCAAAATAAAAAAAAACAGTGCTCTGTATTTTTATTTAAAAATGATCTTTAAATCTATTGGTATCATTTAGCAACTTCAGTGATTAGTGCATTTTATACGAAAATGAAGTGATCATTCAATGCAATATAACTTTCTTAAACTACTCACACTGTCAATTAAAGATATACTTTTTATTAACAAAAAATTTAATTAAATATTGTACAATACAGTTAAAGTAAATTGGTCCAATTAGTCCCATTTGAAATCTATATGTCAAGTTAAAATAAAGTTCCCGACCTTTGTTTTTTGATTCTATGTGCTAGTTTATGGAACATTATTCTTTTTAATTTTGAATAAAATATTGTAAAATTTTATGTTAAGTATTTTTGTATCTACTACTACAAAATCTGTCTGCAACCTACTGATAATTTCTAAAATACTTTATTGCAAAGTTAGATAAGATTTTCTATTACTAATTGAATGACTTATTATACAATTATCTCTCAATATATTTATTTATTTATATGTATAATGAAATTTACAAACTTATATATTCATTTTTTTCTTCCAAATAGATAATTAGTGACTTTTATAAGCTTGAACTGCATCCAGACATGACTTTATGACACAAAATTTAATTAAAAGTTTAAACCTGTAATTGATTTTAATATAAAATGAAATATTGATGAGACCTGAATGTTCATCAAATTAATAGTTATAGAGATGTTAATAACAATATTGAAAATACAATTTTCAGTGTAATATATTTAAAAATAGTTGTCAAAAAATTAAGACTAAATTTAAATAAATTTTTCATTGTTTATAATAATTTTTTTCATTACTACCTTATTAATTAACTAATAATAGATATTGCAGAATGCACGGATAAAGTCATGCATGCTACGTCTATTGTACACATAAATATGTATAAAAAAAAATGTAAGTAAATCACAATAGGTTAATTAAACATCCATATCATATATCTAATGTGGATGTTTAATTAACCTATTGTAATTTTGATTATTATATTATAAATGAAATGGATGAAACTGTGTGTTATATATATATAGGATGATCCATTTTAATCAATCCACTGAAAATAACTTGGGACCTCTGGCAGCCAAGTTAATTCAAATATGTCTGTTCCAATACCATTACCTGAATAGTAAGTATCTGCTGGTCATGTATATATAAAATTTCAAAATATGCTTACATCCATACTAAATGACATTGTATTAAATTACAATCTACAAATTGTAAATTACTGTAAAGAAAGACTCTTGGGCTGCTTTTAATTTTAAGATCCAAGGATACAGTGTGTTTAGAATATGTTTACTTTAGAAACTGGAACATGCCATCTTGTATTTACTTTTGGACACAAATTTACTCTGAGCATACTTAATTTGCCTGGAGTTTTCAGAGAAAGCACAAGTGTTTTAGTTTGGTGTTGATAACAATATGATCTTTATTGGCTACGTGTTAAAAATGAAAAAAAAAAATTGGTGAGCAAATGGAATATATTATTATGAAATGCTTTTAGAATATATCTGTTCTGAAATCAATGGTCATTCATCAATGGACAAGGTGATAAATTCTGCACAAAATGAAGCTTAATACTGAGAGTTTTCTCACCATTACTTTTTCTTGAGGAAAACAAATGTAATTATGCAATATAAATAAATATAATACATATTTATTATTGCTGACTGACTTATTGATAAATTTTCTTTTATGGAAGATAGAAACAACAGGAATATGGAAAATATGAGATTTTCCTATTAATTACACAGATTATGATAAAAAAATAAGTAACTTGCTTTTAAATGTCTCTCTTATGTATAAAAGTATTAATTTCTGGATTAATTTAGTATTAAGTGTTGTTCTTAAATTAATTTTAAAAATTTCAAAATAAAACTTACCAGTTAGAATATTAAAGAGAGAATTTCTTCTTATTGTTTTCAACCACTTATTTCTAACTCCTATGGTATCAAAAAAGAACTGGACAAGGGTAGTCAAAATTGCAATAAAACAAAGAGCTATAACAGTTCTTATCACATTTACGATGGCTGGTGTTACACAATATTTCATTTCTAGATAATCGGAAAAATTTTAAGTTAACTTATATTTTTAATTAAATCAATAGAAAAACATTATTTTGAAATGAAGAAAACTAATATTAAGTATATAAATTCTCTTATTTTTATATAAATATAATTTTTCTCTCATTAATATAAATCATCATGAAACACAATATGTACAAATTTAAACATAAAAGTAATACAAATTCTAAACAGTCCTACTGTATACAATATATACTAATTCATTTAATAATCTTACTTAAAATTATGATTAAATCTAGTAAAATACAGAAATTTCAAGAAGACAAAAAACTTCTTGAAATTTTTTGTCATTTAATGTAAAATTTATTACATTACTCTGGTTATTAATATGCCGAATAAATAAATATATTTAAATTTTATAAAAAAGATTAATAAATTTCTTAAACTGGAGTAAAGTGTAAAATTTAAAGAGTTCTAGCCTGTTCCAGCAAATAAATATGTTTGATAAATAAAAAATTGTTATACAACAACACTTCCAAACCTAAAATCCAATGAGAAAAATAAACGTTTGACCTTTCAAAGGCCATCTTCAGGATCTACTGGCAAAACACAAATTGAACATAAAAGGAATTTAAATAACGTTTGCTTTGTACAAATGTTGCATGCGCAAGAACGCAGTAATAAATTACAAAATAAAAACAATTACAAAAGAAAACAACACATAGAAAAAGGTTAAATGCTAATAAATAATAAAAATTCAGAATAAACTATACCCCAAAAGTATTGGAGTGCTGATATATTAATATAATGATAAGATATGAACATAATACTGTATATATACTAAGCCAGAACTGTTTACAAAGCATTACATATTTTTCTCACTGGGATTTAGGTTTGGAAGTGTCATATTATATATATCCAGTCCAGGATAGGATTTCTATAAAAAAAAATTGTTGCTGGAACAGACTAGAACTCTAAAATTTAAAGATTTTATTATAATTTATAAAATACTTTATAGCAATAGATGCATAACAACATAAGTTGTCCCTAAAACTATTAGCAATAGATTATACTGACTACTTATACTACTGATTCAGAATAGTGCTTTTCCAGTTGGATACTCTCCGAGATAAACTGTAAATTACTTTTGTGTCTATAAAAACAAACTGATCATTAAATATGCAACAACAACAATCCAGAAGACAGAAGAGACTCAAAGCTGAAATTTAATACGTGAAATATATAACTTTTTAATCATGCTATAATTAATCTAATAAGAAAGAAAAACAAAATATCTAGTTTAAAATACACTTGATATTCCTCATTTTAATTATATTTTGGCAAAAATTAATACCAAAATAAAAAAAAACAGTGCTCTGTATTTTTATTTAAAAATGATCTTTAAATCTATTGGTATCATTTAGCAACTTCAGTGATTAGTGCATTTTATACGAAAATGAAGTGATCATTCAATGCAATATAACTTTCTTAAACTACTCACACTGTCAATTAAAGATATACTTTTTATTAACAAAAAATTTAATTAAATATTGTACAATACAGTTAAAGTAAATTGGTCCAATTAGTCCCATTTGAAATCTATATGTCAAGTTAAAATAAAGTTCCCGACCTTTGTTTTTTGATTCTATGTGCTAGTTTATGGAACATTATTCTTTTTAATTTTGAATAAAATATTGTAAAATTTTATGTTAAGTATTTTTGTATCTACTACTACAAAATCTGTCTGCAACCTACTGATAATTTCTAAAATACTTTATTGCAAAGTTAGATAAGATTTTCTATTACTAATTGAATGACTTATTATACAATTATCTCTCAATATATTTATTTATTTATATGTATAATGAAATTTACAAACTTATATATTCATTTTTTTCTTCCAAATAGATAATTAGTGACTTTTATAAGCTTGAACTGCATCCAGACATGACTTTATGACACAAAATTTAATTAAAAGTTTAAACCTGTAATTGATTTTAATATAAAATGAAATATTGATGAGACCTGAATGTTCATCAAATTAATAGTTATAGAGATGTTAATAACAATATTGAAAATACAATTTTCAGTGTTANACCCCTAACTCGTTTAATTAATCTTATTAATCTTTATATATATATATACACACACACACACCTGCATAGCTTACATATTATCAATATTAGAATCAAGTAACAAGTTCATCAAATTCATTATAGTGTTTAATCAACACACTGAGTGTATTAAAATTAATTTTATTTAGATCTCTCATGACATCATATTAACATTGTTATATACAAATACAAACAGTGCAGTCATGTCCATTCTTTTATTTAATATAATATTTTTGTAACATTTCAAGCAAAAACAGCTTTATTACAAACATGATGATGATGATAGTCTACAAAACAGAAAACTCAAATTTTTTAAAATTATCAGTTCACCCCAATTTTAATTAAAAATATAAATTTTAATTTTTTATCAGTAAAATTTATGCAAATGATTAAATTAACAAAATTTTAGTAAATTTGTAAAGTTTAAAAATTTCTTTATACAAGTGATCCTAAGATTAAAACTCTCAGATTCTCGACTTCCCAAAAGGATCTAGGCAGGACTGTTGAGAGAGAAGAGCAGGCTTATAGAAAACTTAGTGGGTCTATATTGTTCATATTCCTATAAATTAATGTTACTTTTTATAACAAAAAATAAACTTTAAAAAGGATTTTTAATTAATAAACATAATAAACAACAGTAGAAACTGGAGAAAGAACTTAGAAACAAAACCACACTTTATATCACTCCAGAGAGTGAAATTTAATTAATGAACCAAAAACTTGTCACGCAGATGAAACCATGTGGAAATTGTTACACAAAGTGTAGCTTATTTTAAATATTTTGTTTTATTTCATTATTTTAATGTCAACATCTAATTTTTTTTGTCTCCTCAAATGTTTTTAATTTTAAATAATATATGTTCTATTCCATTTATACGTTCAACACCCAAAGACAGTCCATTAAATTGGATCAGAAATCCTTTTGGCTCATTAAATTTTACTCGCTAGAGAGGTATAAGGCGCAATTTTGTTTCCAAATGCTTTTTATTAATAAAGAAACATTTTAACTACTTAATACGTTCAAAAAATTTCATTAAGAGGACAAACAGAGGAGCACACTACCGAACTTCGTACAAGCTCTCGGCGGCATTAATCACAGGCTATTCCCATACGAACGAATAGAAAAACAACTACCGTTATCCCCATACTTTTACACTTATCTTCAAAAAGCTCTTCTTCGGTACAAGTTATTCCCATTCCACAATTTACTAAACTTCGGAAGCCGCCACCGTAAGAGACGGGTAAAGACGACGTTCCTTCGTCAAGTAGCAACAGCCTACAATCCTTATACGGAAGGCAACATCCTCAGGAAGTTAAAATCATATCTAAATTCTAAATTAATTAATATGATAGTATGGCTTAAATTCTCAAACAAATAACTGTACAGGAAAGATTTTGTAGAAAATTTTCTTAAGTTAATGAAGCTTTTATTACTTCAAATTTGAGTATTTAAAAATTATGTAAATTTTTTAAAAATTTGGGGTTTTTACAATGTATTTTCTCTATTGAATAAAATGTAGTTGAAGATAATTTTCAGTTTAAAAAAGTGAATGTGTAGTTTAATATGAATTTAAATGTAATTATTGCTTAATGTCAATTAATGACATAACAATTATGATTCATGTGAATGTCAAATTTATATAAATTAATTTAAAGCATACTTACACCTCAGACATACAAATGAATGCGAAATAATGAAATAAAACGTTCAAAATATCTTAATTTTAAATTATTTACTTCTTTTAAACATATTCTCACTTCTCACGTACGCGGTAAATCGAATACACAAAACTAAAAAAAAAAAATAAATTAAAGTGCTCGTTCGCATCTTTAAGCCATTGCCGTGTTGCCAGATTAGAGAAATAATTTTTTTTTTTAAAGATAATAANCCTGAAACTTTTGGTATTTGAATCATTTTGATATGCAGTTCAAGGCATTTAAATTTTATCACACGCACGTCAATACGAATAGTGTGTGATTTTATCAATAATTTCACTAATGCAATTATACTCTTATTTTTCTTTGACATTTGTGTTTTATTACATTTTGAATGAATATTTCGTAAAATTTACACTTTTGTCAATAAATATTACTTTAATTATGTCCGTGGGTGGATGTGTGCTGGGTGCAACTGCATCCTCTTCTGGGAATTTTTCCCAAGTAAAGTCAAGACCTTAGGAACTAAAAAATTTTGTAAGGCATATTGTTTCCTTTCTGTACCCTTTCTAAAGATTTCTGGATCCACTATTGATCATGTCCTATCTTTTTCTCTAGATATATATATCATCTGTATATCCCTATTACAATGAAAGTGGGTTTCATCAAAAACCTTAAAAATTTGTTATTAATTGATAGGTAAATTGGTTATACAGTACTGTATAGAATGGTGATATTTTCAGCTTCTGATACTGCCAGAAATGAGCTATCCAGGCAAGCCAAATTTTTAAAATAGAACATAGTACTTTTTAATTTACTCAGATTAAACTCAAAAAATAAGAACATTTTGTCTCAACCATTTTTTATGAAACCACTTCAAATGATCTTCAAAGTATGATGCCCGAAGAAAAATGATACTGTAAAAGTAAGGAAATATATTTTTATAAAGTATTTTCATTAATGTACCATCAATGTAGGCAAAAAATAATAAAAATATTGACACAATAATCACATGAAATTGATGTTGAACTAACAAAAATTGTTACTACTGCTGCATAGTATTTTTCTTTGTTAAACTCTTCTGGCATAACCCGATGGCACCAATTGAACAAAAGTTAAAAACTGAGCACCATTCTCATCAATGTAAGCATTATTCTGCTTGAAAAAGAATTTGTTGCTTGAAGAACTTCATAGGCTAAGGCTACATAGGTCACTATGACATCTGATAGTTATGTAACTGAAAATAAAACTTATTTAAAATAAAAATGTAAATGCCAGCATATTTACATTTATTCACACTGAATATTCAGCCAACTAAAACATATTGCAACAAAATTGCTTGAATCGAGATTTCACAAGAGAAATTCACCACACTTTCAGAATCATTTTATGGTCAATGGGGTGTTTTTAGTAAAAACGTTTGAGAAAAAAGCTTTCCCAGTTTTTTGAGTTTACTCCAAATATAAATTAAAATGTACCATGTCCCATTTTAAAAATTTGACTTTGTTTGGATAGTCTGTTTCTGGTTAGTACCAGAATTTGAAAATTCCACTATTCATTATATTGTATCTGATTTATTGTGAAAATTTTCTGTATTTTTGATGAAACTTACTTGCTTTTATTTTAAAGGATGGTCTATGTCACCTTGTATATATATGTCTGGATAGTTTCTAAGTAGGCTGATGCCATGTAAAATCTGAATAAATTTTAAAAAAGTATTAACATTTTCAAATTTCTCTAGGATAGAAATATAAGGATGTTCTCATTTGAATTTATTATTTCAACTTTTTGAATCTGATGATGGGATGGAGAAGTCCCAAAAAATGTATAACTAAATGAAAAGACTGACTTTTATATTCTTCTTATCATTTAATTTATCCTATATATCTGGAGATAATGATTTGACGAGATGCCAGATGGCATAACTGCTATCATATCTACCCAGATGTTATTCCTTTTAAACCATATAGCTCTCCTGTCTAGTCTTTATCAAGAGTTATAGATTAGAATCCAATTCCAGACTGAACTTTCTTCCAGAATTTCTGAATTATTTATTAATTAAAACCTGATTTATAATTTAAAAAAATAATAATAAACCATAAACTGTAGCTGTTTGGCTTGCNTTTATTTATTTTGCTGGATCGAAGTGCTTAACTTAAACTCTTTCCATCTGTTGGCCCGCTCTATTAACGTCTATTACTATTTGTGATGAATATTTTTTTAAAAATACTTGTCACAGATACAGACGTGAAAGTGGTAAAAAGAAGGATCCAATAAATCCAAGTCAACTTGTTGTGGAAATCTTTTAGCCGAATCGAACTCGAATTTGGATCCCTCAGTAACGTTTTCTGTAATGGGAGACTAAAAAGAGGGCCTTTATTTATACCCATCGGGAGTTCGATCACGCCCACAATGGAGTGAGGGACGGTGTTCAACATATCTAGGACAGACCGCCAGTGAAAAATTCCTAGATTGCTCGCTTGGATTCTTTCCTGGGTCTTCCGGAGTAGTGTACCGATGCCTTAACCGCATCGACCATCCGGCCGATCCACTTAAAAAAATAATTTAAGTGCATTTAGATCTTTTCCTTTAATTGGTATCAGTGCTCCCGTGCATCAATGTCAACTGAAATCTGGTTTATTAATAAAAACATTCAAAAATAAATAGTATTAGAGTGGTCTTCTAGAAGTCCGGATCTTACTCCAACAGAAAATTTATGAAGTATAATTACAAAAATAGCTTATGATGAAAACAAGCATTATTATCATGTAAACCAGTTAAAATTAGCAATTAAGGAAGCTTGAAGTGAAACGATTGAAAAACTCGATTCAAACTATGCCTGATAGTTTGTTTGATTTTATTCAAATGGAAGGAGATCCAACTAAATATTAAACGATATGAATTTTGCCAAAAATGTGATGTCCTTATAATTATGTTACATTTAAAAATGCAGTTAATTTCAAAAACAGTTTATTTTAATTATCATCGAACATTTATTTCGTCTTTATTATTATGTATCTAAAATTTCAATCGTATATTACAAATTGAAGTTAAGTAATTAAAACTAAATTGTTGTTCTCATAATTCTGTTACAAGATCGAAAACGAAAGCCAACAACTGTAAAAGCGTCAGAGTTCTGTCTCTGTCCTCTCGACCCCTAACTCGTTTAATTTCTTTTGTAATGCATGCCGCATCTGCACTTTTTCGTTCCAGAAATAACTATTATTTCTTTATTGAAAGCTGTCGGGCTAACAAGTGAAGAGCCGTGTTGCCCTGGATATTGATACTATTGACGTCTGGGTGTGCCGTTAATTAATTAATAAAGCCTCGACGATTTCCACCTGCCCCAACAATTTTCCCGTTGCCGTGTCTTGCCCATCGGACATTTATCCCCTCCTCTGGAAATCTTTGTATCTGCTTCACGTTATTACGCCGATTTTACTTTCTAAATCGATTCCATGTATTTTATCATCTAGAAGTAAATGATGAATACGAGAGATTTTTTTTGTTAACAGACAAATCGTCTTCGAGATTTCTGCTCTCCTGAATATCTGTAATGGAGCTTCTTTTTCCGTTTGTAATATTGTTGTTACGAGACATTCTTTATCAAATGCGAATTTTAATTTCAAATTACGATCTCTACAGGAGTAAACAAAACCAGACCTACAATTCGGAGATGTTGATTGCTGGAAACACAATATTGTAGCTCGTCACAATTAAATTTAAATAAAGTAAAAAAGATTTTAATTGTTAAACACTGCATTCTAGACTTTAGTCTATCATGTAATGAAATCATTCTGCGGTCTTATTTAAATCTAATTTTAAGTCTAAATTTAAGCTAATTTCGTAAGAAGCAAAATAATATAGAATAGCGAATATGCGAAATAGCCTACACTTGTACTCACTATGAGGTAGACGCATAATGAGGACGTACAATAAAAAAAGACGCCCTCCTGAAACTACACGAATAAATTCTCGATAATTTGCTTATAATTGCACTACTGTGATAATTGTAAGAACAAAGCGTACCATATACACGCTTTGTGTACGAGCGGTTACCTCAATGAACGGCCATTTTATATTACGATCTTCATCCAGGGCAGACGGCCGCTGTGTTGTTTTTTATGTAATATTTACTCTATGACCAAAGCTGACGCTAGAATTTATGCTGTCCGAGAAAAGACATGTATTTGACGCCCTTTATCCTCTTACACAAAATGAAAATAAATTTGTTTTGAAATGCCATTCCAATTAGAAAGTGCCATATCTTGCTCCGTCGATCAATATTCAACTTCTACTAATATAAATAAAAATAAAAAATATTTAAAAAAAATAATACGCCTGAAAACTTTGTATAAACTTATGAAAATTTGTCTCCCTTCCGTGGACAAATGCCCAGTTTGCCCATACGGTACCTCCGGCTCTGTCTATGACCCGAAAGATGTATGTGCTGTGCTCCCGCTATCTCTTTTCTTTTTTATCCATCCGGCCGACAGATTAGGGTGTATAACTGTTGGGTGTATAATGTTGTATAACTGTGTATTAGGGTGTATGGCAGATAGGGTGTATAATGTTGTATAACTGTGGTTGTATTCAGTATTGTATTGAGAAAGAATTCATTTTTATTAAGTTCAACCTTTGTGCATTCTATCTCCAAAATAAGAACATTACAAATATTTTAAATATTTATTTCTTAATTAATTGTCGTTTGACGACAAGTCAAAGTTGAACATATTAATTGTTGAACATCACAATAGATGGTTATCGAGTACGATAATAAGCTGGGATCATTGAAAGAACTTTCATCACTAAGACCACCATTTTCTGCTTTATATTGAACACTTTGCCACATTTCTTGACTAAGAACGTCAGGAAATCTTTGAGAAAGAAACTGAAACGATTCTAATAAATCATTTAAATTATCAGATTTCTTAATAGCGCTAAAAGTAACGTAATTGCCATTTTGATCTTTAGAAGCATTCGTTCTAAAATCAAATTTCTTTCTTGCTCTATGAATAATCATTGGATCTGAAATTTTTCTATTGTCAGTAATCATGAAACACATCGATGGTTTCAAATTAATTTCAGCATCGTCAGAAACTAAGATTTTAAAACATATATATATATAATTAAAACGCTTAAAAATGATTCAAATTTTAAATTGAAGTGACAAACTTACTCCTTCCTCTTAATTGAACTTCAATTGGCCAATGATCAGAAACATTTCTAGTCTGTAAATGTTAAGATCAGCGATAGTAATTCAAATACAGTAGACCCCCTATAACACTGTTGATAATTCCGTGTTACACGAATTCCGTGTTGTACGAGTCACTTAGATTTTACAAATACGTGAGCCGTCCACAGCCCGGCACACGTATTTGTAAAATCTAAGTGACTCGTACAACACGGAATTNAATTGCCATTTTGATCTTTAGAAGCATTCGTTCTAAAATCAAATTTCTTTCTTGCTCTATGAATAATCATTGGATCTGAAATTTTTCTATTGTCAGTAATCATGAAACACATCGATGGTTTCAAATTAATTTCAGCATCGTCAGAAACTAAGATTTTAAAACATATATATATATAATTAAAACGCTTAAAAATGATTCAAATTTTAAATTGAAGTGACAAACTTACTCCTTCCTCTTAATTGAACTTCAATTGGCCAATGATCAGAAACATTTCTAGTCTGTAAATGTTAAGATCAGCGATAGTAATTCAAATACAGTAGACCCCCTATAACACTGTTGATAATTCCGTGTTACACGAATTCCGTGTTGTACGAGTCACTTAGATTTTACAAATACGTGAGCCGTCCACAGCCCGGCACACGTATTTGTAAAATCTAAGTGACTCGTACAACACGGAATTATCAACAGTGTTATAGGGGATCTACTGTAATCCATGTTTTATACTGAAATAGTCTATAAAAATAGATATTGCTTACTTGTTCGATTGTTAATTCATATTCGTTCTGAAAATTGAAAATGTTAGCAGAATGGCGTATTGCTGCTTGATTCATTTCTTCTCCGGCAATGACAATTCTAGAAAAAGTTTTAAATAAATTACTTAAAGTTTAAATATGCCATTAATTAAAGGTATTTAAATATATACCTATCGTAAGGACAACTATTAACGTTCGTGGTTGTATCCACATGATGTCCAATTAACCATGTAAAATCGCTTCTAGTCCATAAACGAATATTTCTCCAATCGCTAGTACGAACATTACCACATCCGGCATTCATATCTCCCATAATAATTGCATTCTACAAAATTAATAAATTATATATAAATCTTATAATTAACAATTTATATTGTATTAACTATTATTTACCTCGGTCTTGTATTTATTTTTGGCATAATCATAAACATCTGCCAAGAAATCCGTTTCGTTAGCTGCATTACTTGGTTGTGTGTGAATACCAATGGCAATAAATGATGGTAAATTCTCTGTTAAAAGTTTATATAATGTTTTTTTTATTATTATTATTTTAAATATATTTTAAAATATAAATAATAATAATAACTAACTAGTTGTTGGAGAGAGGAAATGCACTATATAAGGAGGTCTCATAAAGTTATCATCCTTATCGGAATATACGCTTGCACCTAACACAGAAACTTTTTGTTTTCTAGGAAAAAAATATAATACATTAAAGTTTGTGTTTAAAATATTGAATAAATCACGTTAACACATTTTAAATAAATATTAATTCGATTACCGATAGAAGAAAGCGTATTGTTCTTTAGCTGTCTTCCTTCCTAGACGTTCACTCAAGGCCATGTCGTACATTACTCCTTCGGGCGCTACACTTTTTTGTACAAGAAAATCTGTTAAAATAAATAAATAAAATCTTTGCACAAATGATAATAATTCAATTACCTGTTAATTGAATGAAGAAGACCGTAAACAAGACTTTCGTCACGCGTTACAATTTCTTGTACAAGGATAACATCGTAACGAATAAGAATCTTGAAGATTTTATAATTAGATTAAAAATTTCCTTCAAAGAGTTATGAATTATTAAATAATTTTACTTACATTCTTTACAATTATCATAATTTCTTCATTTGACATTTTACTGGGTCCTAGATTTTGGATATTGAAAGATCCAATTCTTAAAGGTCGATCGACCGTTCTCAGGCCTTCATTTGTACAAAGTGTTACTTGATACAAAGTAAATGCAATGGAGAGAAATATAAAATATTTCATAATTGCGTGAATGTCTAATGGTTTGTTTTACTAATGCGCCATTAATTCCAATATGTAAAGATGTTGTAAAAAAACGATGTTTTATATCAATTTCCTTACAAAGTTTAACAGATATAAAGGTTATCTTATCGCCTTTATTACACACGTACTTTATAAAAATATATTATAAATATTTACGTAGATTATGTAGCTGTACAGTACATGACATACATATTTTGTTTTTTTAGATTAAGAAATTAAAATGTAGTTTTTAAATTGTAAACAATGTTATAGTTCTATATCTATAAAACGCATGAAATGTATTTAATTTTAAAGATTTTTATAAATATTTTATTAAAAATGAAGATATTAGAGAGGTTGCGAACGAAGTTTCCATCTCTAAAACGTGAACGTCGAACGTCGAGCGCCGCTATCTTGTAAGCGGCACTTGACGTTCGACGTTCACGTTTTAGAGATGAAAACTTCGGCTGCAACCTCGCTATTATAAAAATATATAACGCTAAATAATACGTGAAAGTTTTTAAGGTTGACTATGGAAATCAATGCTCTAAAGTTTAATCGTTTCAGATAAATTTTGTAATAAAGTATTTAACGTGGCAATTTTTTAAAACTCTTTTCACCCCGTGGGCACCAAGGGTGTCTTTTTTCCATGTCCATGGTAAATTCGGCAGGCCCATAATTGGGCAGCCAAGCGATGAGGGACGAGGCCCAACGTATACGGTTTATTAAAATTTAAATTCTTGGGGAGATCCACTCCCGGATTCGATTCCGGTTACCATATTTTTGGCATTTTCTGAATTCTAAAAAATAATACATAATTACGAATCTTTTTCATGAAAAAATTCGTTAATTAAAAAAAAAAATAAAAAATTTGCAGGTGGCGCTATTTAAACAGCTGTGCATTCACGTGTAGTTTGGGTACGTTCGTAAAGTCGAACGAGTTAAACGAGAATGACGTCATCGTTATTCTTATTTAGTTAGACTTTTCGAACGATTCGTTTATAACTAAATGGCTGTTTCTAAAATCGAAGATATGAATGTTGTTAGTGCAGCCTTATCCGAAATATTTTTCTTAAATTTCTTCGGATGGACAGTTATTTCAATCATTTCATCTTTTAATTCACAATTTAAACACTCGAGTAGATTTAGAAACATCGATTTCGTCGGCCGCCATTTTCTTAACGAAGTGAACTAACTCTTTCCTTCGTGAACTTCGTTAGAGTTTCGTTCGAAACGTCATCACCGCAGAGCATGCGCACTGAGCGAGACTACTACTTTTCGAACGATTCGTTACTAACGCGTTTAACTCGTTCGACTTAACGAACGTACCCTTTATTGTATTTTGGAGAAGTTAAGATGGATGAAAATGATTCTTTGCGACAAGGTAAATTATTTTTAACGATTTAATTTAGCTTTAGAAATTATTAATCCTTCGCTTGTAGAATCTGCCAGTATCTTAATAATTTTTGTTTACTTTATTATATATACTAACCTGATAAATGTTGTTAGGCTTGATACACAATACAAAATGAAATAACTGAATACATTTTCTATAAAAGTTTTGTAAATAAATATTTTAATATTATACATGTGTTTCATATTAACATAATAACTCATATTTCAGAATTATCTTCTACCAGTTTTGAAGAATTACAACAGTTAAAGGATAAAATTGGCATTAAGATGTATGTATTTTAAGTATAAAACTTAAATACAATTAAAATTCAATCAATAATCTGTGTAACTTAATTAAATTATATATATTTTTTGATAGGTTTAATAAATTAATGTCCAATTCTACAATGACATTGAAAAAAAAGGAATTTAAAAGAGAAAACAAAAATAGGTGAGACTATTATACAGTTTTTTTCATTTTAGATTTTAAATAATGAAATGTTAATAAATTATTGAAGTTATAAATTAAAAATATATCTGTTGATAGTATGCAAGCGTCTTTAATTATAATCGTGTTATGCCGTTTATGTTAAAAATTATGACGTTGCCGAATAGTTGCATAATTTCCTACATATATAATGGCCGTCCAACTGTATGGTATACTAAACTTTTCAAAATCTTGTTGTTATTAATAAATGTTATTTTATTTGCGTGTCAGAATATTTATTTTATTGTTGATTTCTGCCATTTAGCGGAATCTACGAAAATTGTAGTTCGTCTTATTATATTTAAATTAATTGAAAAATTGCTGTTTTTGGTTTCGAGAAAATTATTTTTTGACGGAATTGAAATATCTAATAACAAAATACTTTTGTTAATTTATTATCTTATAATACTTAATATGTTGATTTAGTTAATAAATATGCCTGAAACTTTTGGTATTTGAATCATTTTGATATGCAGTTCAAGGCATTTAAATTTTATCACACGCACGTCAATACGAATAGTGTGTGATTTTATCAATAATTTCACTAATGCAATTATACTCTTATTTTTCTTTGACATTTGTGTTTTATTACATTTTGAATGAATATTTCGTAAAATTTACACTTTTGTCAATAAATATTACTTTAATTATGTCCGTGGGTGGATGTGTGCTGGGTGCAACTGCATCCTCTTCTGGGAATTTTTCCCAAGTAAAGTCAAGACCTTAGGAACTAAAAAATTTTGTAAGGCATATTGTTTCCTTTCTGTACCCTTTCTAAAGATTTCTGGATCCACTATTGATCATGTCCTATCTTTTTCTCTAGATATATATATCATCTGTATATCCCTATTACAATGAAAGTGGGTTTCATCAAAAACCTTAAAAATTTGTTATTAATTGATAGGTAAATTGGTTATACAGTACTGTATAGAATGGTGATATTTTCAGCTTCTGATACTGCCAGAAATGAGCTATCCAGGCAAGCCAAATTTTTAAAATAGAACATAGTACTTTTTAATTTACTCAGATTAAACTCAAAAAATAAGAACATTTTGTCTCAACCATTTTTTATGAAACCACTTCAAATGATCTTCAAAGTATGATGCCCGAAGAAAAATGATACTGTAAAAGTAAGGAAATATATTTTTATAAAGTATTTTCATTAATGTACCATCAATGTAGGCAAAAAATAATAAAAATATTGACACAATAATCACATGAAATTGATGTTGAACTAACAAAAATTGTTACTACTGCTGCATAGTATTTTTCTTTGTTAAACTCTTCTGGCATAACCCGATGGCACCAATTGAACAAAAGTTAAAAACTGAGCACCATTCTCATCAATGTAAGCATTATTCTGCTTGAAAAAGAATTTGTTGCTTGAAGAACTTCATAGGCTAAGGCTACATAGGTCACTATGACATCTGATAGTTATGTAACTGAAAATAAAACTTATTTAAAATAAAAATGTAAATGCCAGCATATTTACATTTATTCACACTGAATATTCAGCCAACTAAAACATATTGCAACAAAATTGCTTGAATCGAGATTTCACAAGAGAAATTCACCACACTTTCAGAATCATTTTATGGTCAATGGGGTGTTTTTAGTAAAAACGTTTGAGAAAAAAGCTTTCCCAGTTTTTTGAGTTTACTCCAAATATAAATTAAAATGTACCATGTCCCATTTTAAAAATTTGACTTTGTTTGGATAGTCTGTTTCTGGTTAGTACCAGAATTTGAAAATTCCACTATTCATTATATTGTATCTGATTTATTGTGAAAATTTTCTGTATTTTTGATGAAACTTACTTGCTTTTATTTTAAAGGATGGTCTATGTCACCTTGTATATATATGTCTGGATAGTTTCTAAGTAGGCTGATGCCATGTAAAATCTGAATAAATTTTAAAAAAGTATTAACATTTTCAAATTTCTCTAGGATAGAAATATAAGGATGTTCTCATTTGAATTTATTATTTCAACTTTTTGAATCTGATGATGGGATGGAGAAGTCCCAAAAAATGTATAACTAAATGAAAAGACTGACTTTTATATTCTTCTTATCAATTAATTTATCCTATATATCTGGAGATAATGATTTGACGAGATGCCAGATGGCATAACTGCTATCATATCTACCCAGATGTTATTCCTTTTAAACCATATAGCTCTCCTGTCTAGTCTTTATCAAGAGTTATAGATTAGAATCCAATTCCAGACTGAACTTTCTTCCAGAATTTCTGAATTATTTATTAATTAAAACCTGATTTATAATTTAAAAAAATAATAATAAACCATAAACTGTAGCTGTTTGGCTTGCTTATTAATAGATTAAACTTTGAAACTTTTGATTTTCATAAATTTATGAATGACAAAGTATAAACTGGCATTAATTTGTCAAAAAATAGAAAAACTAAATCTATTGTAGTTAATTTTTAAAATTTTATTTAATAAAAAAAAAAGTAACAATATTAACAAATTGAAAGAAATATTAATTCAGTTGTTACGGAAATTTTTATAAAGCTAAATTTAGTAAATAACAGATAAAAATATTAAATTAACAATAAAGTTCATGTTTTATTGTTAATATCCAATTTTGATTCATTCTTTATTAATTTTAATATTTACATATTATATTAATTTATTTTCTTTATACAGGGTATGCCATTTTAATTGATACACACAAATATATCAAGAAACGTCCATTTTTTCATGACATATTCGAATTCTATGCAAAAAATACAAAGATTTTATCTAAAAATTCAATTATCAGAAGATATGAAATTTTGAAGTTAGGAGCTGACACATAGCAACATTGTTTAGTACAGTCAACCCCCCCTATAACACTGTTGATTATTTCGTTTTATATGAATTCCATGTTGTACGAGTCACTTAGATTTTACAAATACGTGTGCTGGGCTGTGAACGGCTCACTTATTTGTAAAATCTAAGTGACTTGTACTGTACAACATGGAATTCATGTAAAACGGAATAATCAACAGTGTTATAAGGGGGGGTCAACTGTACTGTATGATCTAATACCATATTTTTGAAATTTAGTATAAGATGGGAATAAAATTTTGTTTAGAATAAAGAGAATTTATGCGAATTTCTCAAAAAATGAATGCCAAGGCTTTTTCAGCTTTTATCGTAGGTACTTTTCACTATGAAAAAAGTTAAAAAAGTGTTTGAATTACCTAGACAGGCATCATTTTTCAGAAATGCGCATAAATTCTCTATTCTAAACAATTTTTTCAAATTTTGTTCCCATCTTATACTAAATTTTAAAAATACAGTATTAGACTGTATCAGACAAGGTCAGCTCTTAACTTCAAACCAGGGCTGTGTAGCCAGAGTCGGAGTCACCAAAAAATCCGCCGACTCCAACTCCCTTTTACTTCCTAACTTGTTATGTACATACAATGGAAAAGTATTGAAATCGTGTCAAATTTGACCCTCCATGTTTCTTTTGCAAATCTACATGTTTGGAGACCTCCCGAACCCCCCAAAAATGTCAATAAAAGAGGAAAAATTTGCATGCATGTGTGTGTTGGCATCTAATTTGTTTAATTTCTTTATTTTCTGTTCTGAGATATTAAACAATATCTCAGAATGGGTAAAGTTTAAGAAACAAAATGTGGCACTGTAGCTTGCATATAAAGGGACATTAATACTATTAAATTTTGGTTCTTAATTAAAGGTCGACAGGGTGAAGACATAAAAGGGGTCACGTGTCATATGTCTTAATAAATATTTTACTTGTTATTAGCATTCAAAATTTAAAAAATAAAAAGTAAAACTCGTCTCTACCCTCAAAGTAAGCTTTTTTGTCATTTTATAATAGTACAGTTAAACCTGTTAAGATATTCTCGCCTACGATGTTAGAATGTGTATGGGGACACGATTTAGTTCAACCACTTTGACGCTTAATAACTAACTCCTGTGTTAAACCATCTGACTCCGATTCTAACGACTCTGACCACAGAAATTATTAGGCTTCAAACAGGGTGAACAAAATCAAGCCCCCCCACACAGTCTAACATCCACACGTATAGAAAAAAGCCTCAAATCTTTTGCATGTCTCGAAATTTCAAGGTGTCCCGAGTCCAAAAATGTAAAAATTTGGGCGGGGTCATTTTTTGACCGAGCATTACACTTTCCCTCTGTTATATATAACAGCCAGAAAAGTAAAAATTATCAAATACATATTTATATATTGACTGTGTCATTACTTAGAAACTTTTTATTCCAAAGCTAAAAGACTCCTCTATGTTTTATCTTTATTAGAACTCTATTTATTGAATCTTTTCTTCTGAGGTCATGTGATGACATCAGAATTTCCGGGTCTCTTTCGGTAACAAGTCTGCCCGTGGTCAGAGTAGGAGTCGGATGGTAAGGAAGAGTCGGAGTCGGTAGATTTTTAAGCGACTCCACAGCCCTGCTTCAAACCATCATATCTTTTTTGATAATTATGTCTTTAGAAAAGCACTTATCTTTTTTGATAATTATGTCTTTAGAAAAGCACTTTTCAGATAAAATGTTTTTATTTTTTGTGTAGTTTGAATATGTCATAAATAAAATGGGTGTTCAATAAAATTAATATTGTATGTGGGAAAATCAATATCATCATTTTTAATGCACCCCTTTTAATTCAGTAAAAAAAATTTTTTTGTAGGATTCAAATATCTCTAGATATTCACATATTTTGATTAAAATGGGACATCCTGTACATTTATTAATGACTGCTGCTTTGTTTTTTAAATATAGCGATTAACATGTAAAATAATTTTCTAGACCTAGAGAAATATCTTCTAAGAAGCCAGTAGGAATGGCTCGAGATGTTTTTGGAATAAAGAAAAAGGTGATTTATTTATTCTTATATTACGAACATTGTATGTATCTGTTTTAAATGCTTACCTTTGGATTCATAATATGTGCTTAAAATGTTAGTACTTTCTCAATTAACCATTTAAGTTTTAATATAGTAATTAGTTATTTCATCAGGAATTGAATCTTGTCTTAATTTATCTTAATTATTCTAATTACTATTTTGTCATTACATTTACTTTGGATTGTCTTTTCAGTTTGTAGTGGTAAATGTTATACTCCTGATTCATTATTCAAAATTCTAATCCAAATGGCTTCTTCTGGAAGATTCATATCACTCTCATAAATGTAGTGCCTCCAATTAATATTATTTTGATATTTTCATTGAATAAAATGTTTTGTTGAAAATTTGTTTGACAGTGGAGTATATAAATGAATAGGTGACAAAGTGTAATGTAAGATGATTTCACTGAGACATAAATAGAAGAAAAGAAAGTTATGAAACTGACTTGTGAGATAACAGATGAGCTGATTGTTGAATTTATAGGATGTGAAAGTTTAAAAAACTTTCACATCCTATTTTCTATAAATCTATACATCTCAAAACAACTATCTGATATATTTTAAATGGAATAATCTATGCACTGTATTCAAATAATTTGCAAGGTGCAGAAGTGTGGAAATGTTAATTAGAAAGAAATTGAAATAATTAGGTTGTAGGAAAGGGCAAATATATTAGAATTGAATTCATGTCTGTCTGAATATCGTGTGACAATGGCTGAACCGATTTCTATGAAAGTTTGCCCATATATTCAAGATAATTGAGGGAAAGATAGGCTACTTTTCATTTCCAAAATCATTAAATTTTATAAGCTTTGATAGAATTATATCATTTGGTAAATAGTTCACATCTGATTCTTATCCAATCTTTCACGTGAATAGGAAGTTTTGGTTGGAAGCTGGTGGGTGAAGTGAAAATTCAAATACAATAGGCTAATGTGGTCATTAATGGATAAAAATGGGCATTAGTGAAAGAGATTGCTTTGCATCATTAGACTGTATGGCACAAATCATTGATGATGATGCTATTTAAATTAGATTTCAATGTGCATGTGGAAAAGATACTATTTATGTTTTTCAGTACACATCACAGTTGAATTTAAATCAAATTAATTAATAAAAATCATATATCTGCTAAGTGATGTTCACATAATATAAATGGCATCCAAGAATTTGTGTTTAAAGGTGCTCAAGTCAAATTAAATAACAAAAATTTATATGTAATACATTATTAAACCACTGTATTACATATTGTATATATTACATTGCATTTATAGGAATTTTTATGCATGAAACACAGTTGAAAAACAAAATAAAGGGTGGTTTTATTTTGGAGGTCAGGAATGGATTAATTCATTCTGTATTGTTTTTAGAAGAAAATTTGTTTGTTTAGAACAACTTTTATGAACGAATTATGTTCAAATACTGAGGTTTGATTGTATGAAAAAGGACTTTAATTTAGCTTTACTTAAAATACCCTAATTCCAGCAGTAATGTGTGATATTAGCACTAGAAGTAACATAGAACAAATTTTTTTTATTCTATGAATGTAGAAAAAATTTGTTCCACATTTGAATGATTGCAGAACCTGAAGATGGAAGCATAAGAACTCCGAAAACATTAGTTCTAGTGCTGATATCACACACTACTGCTGGAATTTGGGTATTTTAAGTAAGTCTATTGTTTCCCAGTTAAATAGAAGTTATTTATATAATGACTTTTATTTGCAACTCCAGTTCTAACACCTGTTAGCCACCAATATTTTTTTGAACTGTGAACACATAATGCCAATTGATAAAACTGAATTGGTTTAGTGTTGTCATTCTGAGCAAAAAATCTGACAAGATTGAATTCTCTCATTTCTCTGCTATAGTCACATTTTTTTTTTCAGACGAAGGTCGCTGAAATGTCACAAATTTGTTCAAATGAGTCAAATGTGTGCATATTGTGATTTCACACACACTGTAATTTTACTTAACAGGCTTATATCATTTTCCTGAGCAAAGCTGGATACCTCAGTTAGTACTGTATATTGATATGACTGGAAAAAAAATCAAATTAATTATAATATGTATGTAATTTTTAAAATCATTTCTACATAATCATTTAAAAGTATTAGCATCAAATCTTTTCATGCCTTTCGCAGTAAGTTTCATGAATTTATTTCATGCTAGTGAACAAATTTTATTTTAATCAAACTTTGTTTTTTTTTTTTTTTTCAATAATTCTGTATTATTATAATTAATTGTATTTATTAAAACTTCATATGATAATTATTGCTTTGGTTATGTATTTACAGAAGATCAGAGATCCAAGGTTTGATGATTTATCGGGAGAATATAACGAGTCTCTATTTCAAGAGTCATATTCATTTCTGAACGAAATGCAGCAGAAAGAAAAAATGGTAAACATTATGGACTTATAATAACATTATTTGATATTTATGTAAAAAACATTACGTTTAATTCAAAATTATTTATTTTAAATCACTTACTATTATACCCTTAATTAACATGTAATTTTAACATGTAATTAATAAAATAATTACAAATATACAAACATCTTGTTTATATTATTCTAAATATAAATATTGAAGGCTGAAATGATCAATTTCACCAGATGACAAGCATTATGAATGATTTGACTAATTACAAAAGAGAAAAATGTGATTGCAGTGGCTTTCATAATTGAAGAGAGACCCCTCAATTAGTAAGGATGGATCCTTTTCCAAAAGTTAGAGTATAAAATGTAGAGATAAAATTGTAGAAAACAAATAAAATATACTTTAACTTTATAAATCAGGATGGCCAGATTGTTAAGGCAATTAAAGTGCCAGTTTATCACCCTGGAAATCCAGAATTAAACCCAAGTGGCCAAAAAATTCCAAGAATTTTTCAAGGAGTGGTTGGTCCCCATTCCTCACTGCTCAACCACCCCATTGTGGGCCTGGCCAAGCAGTAAGGAAGGAATGGGAATAAATCATATCCATTCCTCACTGAGAAGTGGACTTGTGGCATTAAGATGGCCCGTAGGATGCAGAGTCAAAACTAAAGAAAAAAAAAACTTTATAAGTCTTATGTATCATTTAAAATATATTTGAAGCTATTAATGCCTCATTTAAAACTGTTTCAAAAGAAACCAAGAAAACATACATTCAAATAATACTAATAGAATTAATTGGAGGTATTTTATTTATTTTGAGACATTTTTATATATTAGAGCAAAGATTTGTCTGTATTTTGTTAAGGAATCTGAGAATGTGGAACATTAAATTGTGTTTCAAATGTTATATAGGAATTAAAGAAACAGCTGAAGAAAGAAACAGATGAAAGGAAAAGAATGAAAATAAAAAAATTAATAAATAAGATTGTAAGTATTTTATTTTATGATATTAGCTCATAAATTTTTGATATTTGTTTAGCATTCATTTTTATAAAAATTGATGACTTTAAATCAGTAGTGTCTGATAAAAACCTGTGCTTACAAAAAAAATCTATTGAACATTAATTTTTCTGCTGATGTAACATGAACAAATAATAATAATGTCATATTGAATACATGTCACCTAACAAATACTAATAATAGTTAATTGACTTTACTATTGTTAAAAATATCTGTAACATTTTTAAGCATTTGTATATTTTTAGTAGCAATAAATTAGTATTTAATTCTGAGTATTACTAGCTACAAGTTATCAGCATGTGCCACGATGCAAAATGAACTTATGACTTAATATATGATGATAACAAAATATTTTTTATAATTCAAAAACTTACTTTTCTGGCTGTTATACGATATAACATAGGGAAAGTATGGTATATGGTAAAATTTTAATCTTTTTCTTGCATTTCTAAATTTATACTTTTCTAGTTTACTATTTCGTAAATTATCTTCCAATTTTCATTTTAATATTTTTATTAAGGTAAAAGAAGTCCCCTATCTCTGGTCCCACACATCCTCTCAATGACTGATTGTTATATTCTGTTTACAGTGAAATTGTTTAATGAATTAGCATTTTTTCCTATAAATTTTATATATAACTAATATTTTACATTTTGGTTATTTCATGCTTTAATATCTATACTAAGGTCATTCTAAAAGTAAAGAATGTTTGTTTCTCTAGATATTTTTATTTAAGATAATGAAACAAATTTTATTTTACAACACATGATACCTTAGCTATATTTCTACATAGACACCATACATTTTTAAACATTTCTCATAGTGTATCATCAGCTTTTCTATGCCTTCTGCATACTCAGTTACCACCAAGTTCTTGAACCAGTCATTAACGGCCTCTTTTGTATCGATGTCACTTCCATTGTGATTTCTGGCTAAAAAATCCTTCAATTTTGGGAAAAGATGTAATCGCTCGGAGCCTAGTCCGAGCTATAAGAAGGATGTTCAAAAACTTCCCACTTAAACTGCTGAAGCAAGTCCTTCATCAATGCAGCAGCATGCAAACATGCATTATCCTGAAGAAGCACAATGCCTCTGGACAACAATCCCCGCCGTTTGTTTTGAACTGAAGCTTCATTCATCACATTACCATAAACCTTGGTTATCTGTCTGAAATTTCGATAAGGCGGACTTTTTTCGCATTCAAAAAGCATATTACACTATGTACCTCACACTTGGCGGGATCTTTAGTTTTGTCACATATTTCAAAGTTACACTGTAAACAGTAAACGATTGTTGTGGCTTGCTGTTAGCATCAGACTGGCACGAAAACATGGGAAATCCATGATGCGGCAGTGGAGGGTGGTGGGAGAACTGCATGGCTTGTCAGATCAAAATGTTCTTTTCTTTATATATATATTATTTTTTCATAATTTAGGATAATCAAGAAAAGGAGAAACAAAAGAAAAAGCTGAGAGAAAAAAATAAGAAAGTAATGAAGCAAGAAGTAATTGAAAAGTTAAAAGAAGGAAAGAAGCCATATTTTCTTAAAAAATGTATGTTAATATTAAAAAATATTTACACTTTCATGCATAAAAATAAAACTGCTTTCTTTTGGAGTTCAAGCCTTCAAACTTAGCATTCTAGTAATTTTGAGACAGCAATATTAATCTTCGTGAATGCTACATAAAAGATATTTTTGTATAGCATTCTGAAAGATAGCTTCTCTTGTCCAAATGTGCTAGAATGCCAATATTAAAGGCTTTTAAGTTCAAAGAAAGCATTTATAGTTTTGGTAAACTAATATTTTATATGAAAAATATTAATGTAAAGTTCTTACCTATTTATATTGTTAAAAATATATTTATTCATGCAAATGACATCTCCATTTTAGTGATAAAAAAACAATTTAAAACACAGCAAACAAAATCAATCTGAAAGAAAAGGTTTTAATCACTGATATAAAATATCACATAACGTGATGATTAAAATCTTTAGACACTTATAAAGGAAGATACTCAAACAAATCCCAATTCAAACTGCTTTTTTTGGAGGAAAAAGCTTAGCACTTTGTGATTGTGTATACATCATCAAGAGAAATAAAGATGGCATTGTGTATTTTCTCTCAAATCAAGGAAGATTTTTACACTGCTTCCCATACAATATAAACTGGAAAGCTAACACCAAAGCATTTTTAAATCTAAATACTGTATGATGACATAAGTTATTTGCTTTTAAATATAAAAGAAAATGATACATATAAAAGGTTTGTCTGGAAAATATCAAGCTATTTTAAATATATTCCAAACCATTCATATAAACTGCCAGCTTACATCAACTTCATCAGAGGAGACATTACTGCATGTGCATAAACAGTCACTGTTTCATGGATCTTTTCTGCCAGCAGAGAGAGAGAGAGAGACTGTTAAAGGTGCTTGCATACTGTGTGATTGTCACATTCACAATGACCAAGCAATTAGATCAATGAATCTGTATCAAATTTTGCTTGAAACTTTGAAATTTGTGTGTGGAAACTATTCAAATGATAAAGGGTCTTTGGGAATGATGAAGTCCAGATTAAATTGTGGTATCAATGTTTCAATGATGCTTCAATTGAAAGCAATCCATGCTCTAGAAAGCCTCCAACAAACATCCAAAAATGTTGAATGTGTACAAAGCAATTTTTGAAAATTAATGATTGATGGTGTGAGAATTAGAATATGATCTGGAGATTCTAGGTCTCTGTGTCCAATGAAGATGCGACAAAGTTAGAGCAATATCAAGGTTACTTAAATTTTACAACAGAAGATTTAGTTGATAGCAAATCTTGTAAAATTTTCTAAAAATTGAGATTTCTTAACATTACCTACCAACATAAAACATCACAATACTTCCAAGCTTTACAGAAAAACTTTACGGTATGAATTTTAGATTTCTTTTGAATTTCTGCACTTTGAAATTCACTAAATCCTGAAATTCTCAACTTTATACTTGCATTTATGTTTAAGTCTTATTCACACTAAATCCTATTTTTTTTTTCTCTAGCTGAAAGAAAGAAACTTGAATTAATTCAGCATTATAAAGAACTGAAAAAGTCTGGAAAACTGGAGAAATATATGCAAAAGAAGAGAAAGAAGAATGCATCCAGAGATTCTAAATGGTTAAAAGATATGTAACTTATTGTCAGTCTATTTTTTAATTTATGTAAATAAAAATTAAGATAATAATTGTTCTGCTTCTGTTTTCTCTAATCTTAACATAAAAACGTCTCAATAATAATCTCACCCTTCTAAGTAATTCGTATTGATGAATATTTAAGATATTCTATAATACTTGTTTTTAATGCTTACTATTTATACTGATTCAGCCACAAAAAGATAAGTTTCATACATTCATTAAGTCAAAAACATAATTTATGTAATATATAGATAACAATTGTAAGATATAAATGGTATGTAACCTTTGAGTCTATCTAATGTAAGCATATTGAACTTACACCAAATCATAGTTTTGGAATATGCATTAGTATATTAATCTTTGTGTTATGAACTTTGTATTTAAAAAGTCATAACACTAAAAGTTTTGGAATACACATAAAAGTGTATGTCATTATTTTCCTCAGTTAATATATTGGATGGAGAATTTGAGAGAAAATTTGCTAAAGCACAATAATTACTTGCAATTGTTTTAAAAATTTATTACATGGTAACATTTAACTTTATACTGATTATTGAAATAGTGTCATAATATTTTATTTTTGGGAAAAATGAATTCATCAGTTGGATCCACAGGAGAGCCCAAAAATCACTTAACTAAGTTATATTTTAAAAATGATTAAAACAGATTTGGAATAGCTGTAAGTTATTTGTGATAGTTAAATGAATCCCAAATACAGAGTAACATGCTGTTCCACATCAATTTAATACTTTAAAGCCAGTCACATTATTCTGCCTCTTCCCAAATTATAGATAAATATGATTTTAATTTTAATCTATTTATATTAATAAAATAAATATTTTATTTATTCAGAATAAAATATTTTTTATGATGTCCCTAGATGACACCAATTTTTATTTTTTCAAGTAAAAAAAAAACATCACAATATTTTACATATATTGTTTATAATTAAGAGTCATCAGATTTTATTTAAGATATTAACTGATGTTTAAAATTCTCATATTTATTCTTGAGACAGTCTCAAGATTGAAATCTTGAAGCTAACTAAATGAATAAATACAGCATTTTATATTTAGTGATGGGATGAATTATGTCTGTTCCTTTATTAATCAAAAAGCAAGAAACTACATCAAGAACCCATCACTAAATTATTAATATAAAAATATTTTTCAAGAGGTTAAAATATTTTTCAAGAGGTTCTATTGTTCAATTAATATAACAATATGGAGTTCTTAGTTGTACATAAAGTAAAATATTATTTAATATAAAAAATATATGAGATTAAATATTTTTCTGAACAAAATTTGTACAGTTTTCTTAAACTTATGATAAAAGTTTTAATAGTACATCTTTTTCCACTAACTGATTTCTGTGTGATTTTAACATGTTTATTCTAGTATTGTAAGAAGGATTATTGTTATTTGTATATGGCGTAATGCTTAGGTTTTGCTTTTCAAATTGTTGATTCTCATTTGGATATTTTGTTCGATTCATTTCCATAAACATTCTAGATCCAGGAAATACCTTTGGAGATAATTCTATGACATTTCTGTACTTTTTACAAGATGTTTTTGGAGATTTGAATTCTAATCGTCTTGAAACACGCCGTGAATTTACCTCGGAAGTTTTACTAATTAAGTTTACTTTCGCACTCTGAGACTGACTTCCATGAAGTCTTTTGTTTATCTGAGACACATTACAATTTTTTAATTGTTCCAATCTTTTTTCTTCTTCACTTTGATTTTGTAATTTATTTAATGCATCATTTGACTGTCTACTCAAAGTCAACTTCTTTACAGTCTGAGATCTATTATTACAGTCTTGTACATTGAATCTTTTATTCACATTCTGGAAATGTATGCTAGGAGTGTGATGTCCATCAATACATAGAAAACAATGACTTGATTCTTCAATTGCCTGTTTCTTTTTACTCTGAAGTCTTGTATTATAATTATGTGTATATTCTTGTCTATATGAAACATTCATTTTATTCTGGTTTAAAGAAACGGATAGTTTTTCTTGTGATAAAGTCCCATTTTTATAGTTTATTGTTGGTATGGTCTTATTTAATTGATTCTTTGATGTTCTTTGTGGCACACAAGACCATGTTGTCTGAAAATCAGAATCATCATCTGTTAAAACACTACTTATTTGTTTGTATTTTGCCATTTTCTTGTCATGACATACACAAGAATCATTTTGAGAAAGTACTGTTTTAAAAGATAAATTTTCTTTTGACACGTTTCTCTGAATTTTTGTTTTTGCTTTTTTACTAAATTTTACATTACTATGATTCAAAATCTGAATTTGATTTGATTTTCTTTGAAAACAATCTTTGGACTGGATATAAGAACTAGTTTCTTGGCTTGTATTCGAAACTTCCCTTAAATATTGTCTAGATGTTATTGCCTGATCATTCTGTTTATTTGGAGTATTATGAACTGTTTCCAAACCAGAACCAGTATTATTGGATATATTTCCAAATAAAAGACTGAGAGAACAAGGGGTTGGTTGATAACCTAGAGAAGTAACACTTTTATCTTGTAAATTAATGGCTGTTCTATCACTTACATATGCACTACTGTCATTCAAGATACCATTCGAGATAGATTTAGATAATTTGTTTTGATTACTTGTAGATGAAGTGTTACACAATGTCTTTCCTGTATTATTATAACGATAATCCAATTTTATCCGCTTTGCAGACTTGAGAGATTTATTAGTAATTAGGAAATTACTTTGATTGGATTTTAGTTGTTTCTCATTTTTATCACTGTATTGCAAATCATTTCCAATTTTATAAGTCTTGTCTTCATCAAAACTTCTCAATCTCTCAACATGTACTTTCAAATCTTTTAAAACAACATTCCTGTTGTTTTTTTCACTAGAATTATAAGATAAGTAACTAATATTTTCATTACTGCACTTTTTACTTGTTAATGTATTTATATAGTTAGTTTTGTCTTGACTAACAGATGTTTCAGAATTTTTGTTGACAGAAATGTCTGTAACAGTATAAGCAGAATTTTGAATATTTGAAAAATTGTTTTGAAAACTAGACTTACATTTCTGACGTTCTAATAAAGTTGAGTTTTCATTTGGTTTGGATAACATGTCATGCTTAGTGATTGCTTCACTAAAGAGAACTTTGGAGAATTTCAAATCTTGACTGTCAGTTTTCTTAATTTTTAAATAATTTAGATTAAATAATTCAATATCAGTTATTGCTTTCTCATTTGGAAGTGGTCTGTTTGTACATTCCTGAGATTTGTTATTAAAAGATGATTGTTTCTTGTTANGAGTCAAATGTATAAAATATATTTTAATATTTGGAGAGTAGAAAGCAAAAAACAAGAAAAATTAACTTTTAAAATTGAAATTTTAAGCTTATTTCACCCAATTATTATATATATTATATTCTGTGCAAAATAAAAATCTATAGAAAGGACAAATGTTAAATATTGTTGACAATAAAAAACAGATGCTTTTATTTATATTTTTTTATACATTGAAATAAAAAACAGATTTGTAGTTAAAAATTATTATACATTTATTTCTTAATATGGTTTTAATTAAACAATGAAATTATCTTACCTGATTTAGATTTCTTCTTTTTCCTAAATGTTTTTTGATTTAAGAAATCTGTGTTCTCAGGTAATATTTTCTTATTAATTATTCTTGATATTTCCTTAATTTTTAAAATTTCTGTTAAAAACAAAGAAAAACGAGACTTTAGAACTAATATCTTGATTATTATAATATTGTATTTTTACCATTTCATGACGTATTCATTAATTTTACAAATTTTTACAAATAAGACAAATCACTTATATCTAAATATTTTTACAGGATTTAAGTTTTCCACTATATTACAGTAACTAAACAGTTTATAACAAAAATATCTATTAATATGACCCTATAGGTACCAACCATCAGACACATTTTTGATGAGTAGTTATTTATTGTGACATTGTCTTTAAAAATTGCAGCTCAGCATTAATTAATTATCTTCTTTTAATTAAAAAGATCACATGACTTCTGGTCTAGATCAGTAATTTGTAAATAGTTAATTGCGGCCTCCAGCACTAAGCTTTTCATATCTAGTATTGCTTTTTGTCTATCTAATCCTGTTCTCGAGATAAATGAATGTAAGGTGCAGACTTTTAGGGGCAATAAGTTAATTGCGCGTCAGGAAAAACCTAAGGACTGATTGTATGTGGGTGGTGGTGGCAGAGGCAAAGATAATCAAGTGTCGTACAAGAACCGCCGCCAAGAAGCATGTTCTTGGCTGGCAGAGAACACTCTCTTCTTCTCTTGATTTGGGGTTTTATACGATTTCCCCTGAATTTCCCATTTTTGATTGGTCTTGTGTTCCTTTTCCCCCATCTGAATTGGTCATTCTTCTGTCTCCAACTGAGACCAAAGCCAATTCGGGTTGGGTAAGACCTGGGAGGTGCTGACGGCGTCTTGACACCTACACTCGTAATTTATATTGTTATAGTCTTTCTCGGACACTTGTCTTGACCAATTTGCCAAATGTTCTGCGTCCATTTACCTCCCAGATGGTTTAGGGCTCACAAGACCTAACAGAGGTGTCCTTTTGGTCATTAGTCCTGTTTTTTTTCTTGATTGTTTACACTTCGACTCTTGTATACGAACACCATGACAAAGCCCCCTCTCACCCGGTAGACATTCCCTCCATCATTTATCACTGTGCTGCGTTCAGTTTTAGAACAAGTGTTTTCCTTTCTGTCGAGTCTACTGCACCGACACATGTTCTTGATCCTATTTAACCTCTGAAGTTTCCTGACTTAAAAATTTTATAATGAATCGAAATTTTGACTCACATTTAGGAACCTCACACGAAGGACAGACAGACAACAGCAGGAATATACAATTTGAAAATTGCAGTTCAAAAAACAAGTTATTTGTACTTTCTTTTTAAAAATACAACAGATTATAAAGCTATAGAACAATGTTAAAGACTACCAATTCATAAAACTTAAAAATATTTTATTACAAGAGTCTATCAAAAACTAAAGTTACAAGGCCGATATTCCACAAGCGTCTAGTGACTGGGCACATTCCAACTTACTCTGATGGAGGTTCCCTCTGTCAGACAGTTTAGGAATTATGATATGTTCAGAAAGTAGTTTAAATAAAATAAAAAATAAGAACTAAGTGTCAGTTTTCAGTTTTACTGGAAGGAAAATTAAACATTCTTTTTTCATAAATTTTGATATGAGTGTCAATAAAGACTTATTTTAAAAAATTCAACATTTACTTCACTTTGCTGCTATTTAGGTTTGAGTAATGTAAAAAATTTTCTATCTTTAGATTAAACACTTTCTGAATATTGGCCAGAGTTTTGATGTTAGAAGGCAGAAACTTGAAGACTGAGTCTGTAAAGAAATAAGATTGTCTATAAACTTAAAACAAATGGCATTGAATCTTCTAAAATCAATGAATTTTATATCCATAATTAAAGATAAAATTTAATTCACTGTATGCTATTCATAAAAACAGTTCAATTCTTTGCTTTTAATAAGATGTTCCAAGAGTCCTAAATCATAAAACTGATTAAACAAGTAATGTAACTGATAATGTAAGAAATGTTTTTTTTTTTCAGATAATACTTTATTTCTTGATTACAAACCCTGTTTTGGGTAATCTTTATTCTAAAACTAAAAATACAACTTTTTTTAAAATGACCAAAAACTTTTAAAATACAAATGATTTAAAAACATGTTAAGAAAAATACATTATAGAAATATCAAATATATAGGATTTTAATTTACAAAATGAACAAAAGTTTTTTACATTGATGTTTTAGCATTCACAATTATTTTTGCAGCAGTTCTCTCTATTTCCTCTAAGCTGGAACTTAATTTCTGATATTTTCTTTTTACATCTTTCTTTGTTTTGAAGAGAGTTCTTTTTTGAGGGTCAATTTTTTTGTTACCTGGAACTGAATGGACTGAAACAAACGAAGACTTGTCTGTTGCATCAACAGCTGAAAGCTGTGGACCCAAAGATTTTAGGGCTTTATCTACTACTTCTAGTTGGCTCTCAGACATTGATACCAGACCTGCTTCAAGATTCTTAAGAGCTTTCCTAACATTTTCTTGCAATCTTGAAGGTGTTGAACTTGATGGTGTGTTTAGTTTGTCTACAAGCAATGATGACTCTTCCTTTCTTTTATCTTCAAAAATAATCAATCTTTGTTCATTTTTTTTGTACTTGATGAATTTAATAATTCATATTGCAATTCTGTGTTGATGTGTTGTTCATTTTCTTTATTTTCTGTTGGAAATGGTTGCAGTGCTTTAGTCTGAAGATATCTGCAAACAGTATGAATATGTTTGCACATGTTCCAATGAACTGTTGAGTCAAGACATGTAAGGTGAAATGATGAATACATGCTTTATAGAGAACACACACTATCTGGCACTTACAATCCTTAGTTATTTCTTCCACATGGTAAAGTTCTCTCTGTGATGAAGATTCTACAATCCAGCCATCTTCTTGTTCAAGGACCTGCAAACTTAAATTTTCACTCAGTTTATGGCACATTCTTAAGTCTCTTAATTTACTAATAACTTTGCCTTTGTGAAATACTACCAATCAGTCAAAAGTTTTATCTTTTACAAACTTCATGATAGCATTTATAGCCTTGTCTAATCGTTTGACATTTTTGCCATGTAAATAAATATATTTCAAACTCCTGTGCATTCTTTCCAAATGGGTATTTGTGTTTAGACCACTCCACTTCCTGTGACAGTAAGCCCATGAGGTGGGATTTTTCGTGTATATGTTTGCAAAATATGTAGCAAAATCAATGGCATCTGCATCTTCCTTAAGTTTTCTCATGATCTCATCTGTCAAGCGATAAAAATCATCTTGATCTCTTACTTAAAATTACAAGTGTTACTTCAAGAAAGTTTCTGCTTGCTTTTCTGTGATACAAATTTTATTCAGATTTCTTCTCCATGCTCGATCTACATGCCAGGTGCAAAAGAGTCTTAACTGAGGCTGATAACTTGAATCCAAGCATTGAAAAATGCTTCAGCCATGTCAGACATGAAAACCTTTGGAGATATTATTCCAACTTTTTCTTTAATGCTTTTCAAAAAAATAACTCATAAGCAAGTTGATCAGTCCTGTTTGAAATAAGAAAGGCACATGGGAATTCTTGTCTTATGTCATCAATTATCAATAATGCGGTTAGTTCAAAGCCATAACTGTTCATTCCATGCGTCCCATCTATACATATACAATCAGCACTAAATTGTTGCAACATGTGCTGCTGTATATCATTCATTATTATTAAAAGAAAGTCTTCTTTTATTAATTTTTACTAATTTTTTAAGTAGAGAGAGTATATTTTTACTTGTTTTTAACTGAAAATATTTTTAGTGCTTTATTTTACTAATTTTGTTTCATTTGAATAGATGCCTTGGGGTTTATAAAATAAAACACAAGAGTCATTATTAATTTTCATTTCATTTACCCAAACATCTACAGATATTCCATCATCTTGGTGTTTTACACCATCTTTTTGCAAATTATATGCTTGTTCAATGTTGTAGAGATCCTTTTTTGTTAACAGATGTAGTCTGTTAAGTGTAGAATCAGAGAGATAATCTCTGACTTCATCAAGAACAACATCCAATGATATTTTTTCAGCTATTTTACTTGCTAATGAGAAATGTTGTGATGCTGTTAAAGTTAAATGTCCCATATGTGTTTTTGTGAATTTTACAATACATTCACCACTTTCTTTTTGAATGACCTTCATTCGTGCTGGACAGCAAGCATTTATTTTGCTGTTATCCTGGGTCTTAAGTTCCATTACCTTTGTGTGTATATATTCCAGAGCGGTGACAAGAAAAATGCAGTTTGACTCATCCTGCATACCTTGAATCAGAACCTCTGGTAGTTTTAACAAATTTAGCATATGACTTTTGTTCAGTCTCTTCTTTCCATACTATAAACAAGTCTACTGAAGAAAATGTCAGTATTTCTTCTTGTATTGTTAATTTATGAATGCTGTTAAAATGTTCCAGCAGAAGTTTTTTGGAATAACTAGCACCACACAGACCACAGTTCAAAATGTTTGAATTATCAGGTGTTTCAATTATTTCACCATGGTCATTCCGGAGATGATAATGTAGCTAGCGATTGTGATCTGGAACATAAATGACAAGGAAAATTAAACACTTTCTGCAACTTCTTTGGATTCACTAACTCGTTCACATGATCTGGATGAAAATTGTTTGTATGCACTTTTAAATAACAGAACTCTTTAAAAATCTTTCTGCACAATGTGCATGTGTAACTATTTACAATGTGTTTCTGCAAAAGCCGTAAGTTCAGGTATTTCATCCATGATGTCGGCCATCTCATCAATGAGGACAAATGCTACACGCAAAAATATGACATAAACCAAATGAAATAAATATGTAAACTAAAAACTTAATAAATGAAATTTGCAAAAAACTGAATGCTAATAATAAGTAAAATCAATAATAAAACAGATTTTAATAAATGAATTTTGTATTTAATAAGCTACGATCGACGTCTCCTCTTCGAATATCAAACAAACTACTACAGTAGACCGATTAGTTACTTACTGTACACAAGTTTATTACCTCCAAAAATGGCAGACAGAGGGAGCCTCTATCAGAGTAAGTTGGAATGTGCCCAGTTGCTAGATGCTTGTCAATATTCCTGGAGTTTTTTTTTGTTATAGAGAAATGATAAGTGTGCACAGTTGGCAACTGTGCAGAGTTTCAGCCACCCGCCACCTACAGCGCTAGTTATAGGTAAACACAAATGGCGACTCGTTTGGAAAACTGGTCTCATGAAGAAATCTGCTCAGTTATTCAATTTCTGTGGGCGAAACATGTAACCGCAGCTGAAATTCACAGCTGGTAGAGGTTTACAGAGAGACTGTAATATCTCGTCAGCATGTCACAGAATGATGTTGGAAGTTTATGGCTGATAGAGAAAACATCACCGATGAGGATCACAGTGGTTGACCCAGCACAGTATGAACAGATGTCAACACAGCTCGCGTGGAGGACCTCGCTCCAAACAACTTTCACTTGTTTCCTCACTTGAAGAAGAACCTAGCAGGACGATGATTCACTTCAGACGAGGAAGTGAAACACTTTGCGACAACTTGGCTGAACACACAAGGACAGGATTTTTACCAGAAGGGAATTTTCAAACTCATCATATGAAGTGAAAGTGCCTAAACTGATATGGAAACTATGTTGAAAAATAACCTAATGTATGTACTATCAGTTTGCTGTATTGGTTGTATGAAATAAAATGTACACTTTTCACTGCAGGCTTTGTAATCTTAGTTTTTGATCATTCCTCGTATTATTCTGGGAAAACTTTTTTCCTTTCATTTGTTAGTAAACTAAAACTTTAAAGTAATTCTTAAATTTATAAGGAAAAATAAGAATTTATTTTAAATTGTAAAGTAAAAATTTGCAATTTTCAATGTTTCTAAATTATAATATTTATAATTTAGAAAAATATAATAATATNTAATAATATATTTACATTTATAATTATATAAAGTATTAAAATTATAGTAAAGAGATCTTCACAATTCCCTTTCACACCTTGGAATTACATAACGTAGTCTGAGGAAGGATATAGCAGCTGACCTTTATTTATAGATCTTTGTCTGCCTCAATATGCAAATTAAATGTTAAAAATCCTCCAATGATAACACAATTATAAACATTATATTCATTTTAATTAGAATATTATTTTACATTGAAACATACTTTATGTAAATATCACAATGCAGTCATGTGTGTTGTATAATCAGTTAATATGCAAAATTATTATTATTAAATTATAAAAAGTATGTACTTTTGTGTGATGAAAATAAAACTGTGTAATTCAAGTAACCAAAAAAATTTTACTTTGAACCATTTTCTCTTATTTATAATTATTAAATTGAGCAACTTTTTAAACTTTTGTAATTAAAATAGTTCAATTTGTTCATATGCAATGATTTTTAAAATGTTTTGTATTTTTAACCTTGTTGTAGAACAAGGTTAAAAATACAAAACATTTGATATATGTGCTGAGAATTGCTCAATTAGGAGCAAAAAATATTTCCGAAGAAAACACTTTAGTTAAGTGAATCAGACAATTTTGACTTTATCAAATAATTTATATTGTGATGCTACTGATTTTCATTTAAAACAGATACTATAAAACATATGTTTCTCTGCATTATGTACTACAGTGAATATCTGGGTGTAGTTATTAGGAAGCAATACGAATGCTGTTCAGTTAAAGAAATTTTGAAGATTATTATTAAGGAATTCAATTACTTAAGGTTATCTTTTCTCTTTTAATATATTTTTTTCTATTTAATAATACATTTAAATCAGATACAATGTACGTTTTACCTGCTTCACTTCGACTCTCGTGTGCTTCTGTAAGCATCCCGAATTTTGTTGTTTTTGAATTTCTTAAAACACCTAGAAATAACAGTTTCAATTAGCAGACTTTATCAAAATATCCTTTTAAATGTAAAATATATTTTCATTAATAGAGAACACAATAATCTCTGTTTGAAATATAAATACGTTACTGATATTTTTAAAGAATAAGTATTCAAAGTAATACACTCAATATTATAGGTAGCACTAATTTTATTTTATTTTTTTCCCAAGTGTAATTTTTCAAAATATTCATTATAGTTTTTATATTTAAACTGTTAATTTATGATTTACAAAGTAAAATATGTGAATTTTTGCTTTGAAATTAAAATTTTACAGATGAATATACATGATAAAATTACTCATGTCATTTATATTAATTTTCCATTTCCAACGATATGAAGTCGTTTGGAAACATAATTTAAAGAATGAAAGATATATAGTGAAACTGCAATATATTGTTCTTGAATATATTACTTTTTCTAGAAACAGCATTCAATTTCTAGGTCTCTGAACAAATCCTATTTAAACTACGGAAATTAAACCCAAGCCAGTCATTCCTTAGTTTATCGTTTTTGGCATTTATCTTTTTCACTTATGCAAAATTTTATCTGAAACATTTTAATAATAATTTCATAATATTTATTTTTAGCATTTTCCCTTCTTTTTTCAATAAACTTCATAGATATTCACAGATGCATGCTCACATTGTGGTGGCCACATAAAAGTTCAAACTCTCACAATTTATGATAAGTGCATCTTGTGAAAAAATAATTTAGATAAAAGTTTGTATGTTTTTGATATAGAATCATAATATGCAATAAAAAATGAGGGTTCTCTTTTAAGAAAATAAACTTGATCCCATTTCCATTGATTATAGTTTAGTTATCTCTATGATGAAACCAACAGACCAGTCTTGAGGATCCCTTGAAGTCTAACATTTTTGATACAATGACTTTTCATAGAATATACATTTATTAAGTTATTCCAGTAGATTAATTAAAATGGACCAACTGTATATATATAAACAAAAGGAAGTCAAAAAACTACAGACAAATTCCTATATTTAAAAAAAAAATTATACTTTGATATATATATATATATGTATGTATTTATGCTATAATATAAAAGTACACATTAATTTTACAGATTAATCATGCTTTTAAAATAAATTCTTTTGGACATAAACTAGATTTTGCTAATGGTCTAGATACAATTAATTTCAATTTGGAAATACAAATTGTTAGTTAAAAATATGCTTTTTCTTTGAACTAATTTAACTTGAATTCATTTTACTAATTACAACTGTTAATTGTAACGTATAGTTCAAACAATTGTTCAGAATTTAATCACCATTATTATTAATATTGGGGAAAGTTTAAATGAAATGGATAAACATTTTGCCAAACAAAATTTAAAAGTTATCAATTTAAATTCTGTTCTTTTCACCTGAAGACGACGGTTATACACTCGTCAAAAGTGCTTGTGTTAATACTAAAGGAACTTTATTAATGCTGAACTCAGTGAATTTGTATCCAGAAACTATACAAAGCTTGGCGTGAGTTTTTAAATTTAACTTTTTACTTAAATTCTGCATAGAAAGCTTTAAATTCTATCATTTCTAATTAATTAGAGCTTTCTTACTATATAATAATCTTGTTGATAATAAGCATAATAATCACTTAATAAAATTGCATATATTCGTACCTCTATCCACAACTATTTCCATATTTTCCAAGTCAATAATGTCGTCATCTTCGTCACCAATGTTTTCATACTGAAAATAGAAAAATAAATCAAGGAAAGAAAGTATATTTCATAAATACTAAATCATTTAAAATATTACTGAAATATAGTTTATGTAATATATCCATGATAACCTATATTTTGCATCATCTTAATAGTTTTACATGTTGGTAGAAAAGCATAATAGTGTATGTATGATGTTCTATCAGTATAATTTGAAACAAAACAACATATCTCAACTGATTCATTTATAACTATTTTTATTTATTTTTATGCACTAAACAGTAAGATTCAAAAATTTGTTACCATACAGTAGCAAAAGATGTTTGTGTTTGTTCCAAATACATAAAACAATATTGATTCTGAAGTCAAAACAGGTAGGGTATCAGCTTACTGCTCTGGAAACCAGGATTGAATCTTGACAAAAATCCCCTGGATTTTTATGGGTGTCAGATCCCATCCTTTGCCATATGGCTGCCCCATTGTGAGCACGGCTGAAACTACAATGAGCATGGATATCTGCAGAGGGGGAAAAAGCAGCACTTGCCCTCTTCTGGGATCGAGTAAAAAATTCCCCAAATTATAATTGTAAAAGTGATCGAGATATGTAATCTTATACTCTCAACCATGGAACACTTTATTTTCTTAAAATTTTATTACTGTATTTTATACTACTTGTGAAAAAAAACCCAAAAACGAAATAAAAATTTATTGATTGTAATTATTTGTCTTCAAGCTGGGAAAATTTTCTGTGACGATCAATGACAATGGGTATGATTAAATGACCCTCTTAATATCCACAAAGCAGAAAGAAGAGGGTGGAAAAACTATTATTAAAGATACATATATAATGCAATCTCACAAAATTTTTGGAATCTATTCTATATATATATGTGTATAGTGGAAACCTGATTATCTTAACTTGATAGGGCCAGCAGAACTCTTTCAGATAATGCAGAAACTCATTTTTGTGTTTTGAGTACATCAAGAACTATGCATTTAGTTTCATATACTATAAATACTGTAATGCAATTACTATATTTGAAAGTAAATACAGGTATTCCTCGTACAACACAGTTTCACTCTAACATGGTTCAAAAATTAAAGGTAGCCCCCATACAATACCGTTTCTGTTTTCTCTCTAACACAGTTTTGGAAATCTTCCATACAAAATTTCACAATTTTTTAAGTGTAAACTTCATTACTCAATATATATATATTGAGTAACGAAGTTTACACTTAAAATATATATATATATGTTTTTTAAGTTCAAGTAAATCAAGTAAACATGTATGTTTTCTCAAATTTGCCTGCAGATTTTAAAATATTGAAATTTTCAATTTGTGTTGTGCCATTTGTCAGGTTTCCTTTCATGAAAACTGATAGATCAAGGAAGAAAAAAACTGTATTAACTTTCCTATCAACCAGGTGTTGTCGTCTTTTCTTTCTGACTTTAGCCCTTAACCTAAGACTGTCACCATGTCTTGTTTTAATAGATTAATCTTTGTATTTAATTAAGTTTATTTAAACATTTTTAGGTAAGTATTATTAGAATTTTTCTGAACCATAGATAACTAATCATTCATAAAAACGACAAACGAAATACAACAGTATCTCGGTACTGGAACAGAGAAAAAACAAATTGCTCAGTACTCGACTAAACAAATGTTCAATTAATAACATATTTTTATTTTGTCATCCATACAAAATTATAACAAAATTTTAAAAACTGAACATGATGCTGATATTTCTAATGAAGATCAAGAAAAAAGCTGAGATGACAATACTTTATAAAAAAAAAAAAAGAAAAAAAAAAGTACCTTCATTTAACTAAAATTAATATTAACACATAATACAGTGCTTTTAATTGTGATTATTGGAAATAAATTATTCATAGCTTTGGAGAAAACTGTTCCCGGATACACAATTCGTCGTGAAACTAATCGCATTTACTCTTTCCCCTTCTTAAAACAAATTATTAAATTTTACTACCATTTAAAGTTTAAAAGTGTCGACAACATTATCTTTTTACATCAAGAAATAATCAAATATAGTAAAAAACCAACAACATAGTATCTTTGGCAAACTAAGTTAAATAATATATTAAACTCATTTGGAGTATCAGACCTACTGTTTAAAGATAATATCCAAAACTGGAAATATGGTTATACTTTATTATTGGAATCTG